TGAGAGCTTTTCCTTTGTCAGTCATAGATTTCTCTAGCTATTCATAAGGCCAAGATGTGCAGCGGACAGAATTCCAGTATATATATTATTATAGATTTCCTTTGTTAAATATACACTATATAACCATTAAAGATATGTACTGCTCTCGGAAAAAGTTTATTGATATTTGTATATCATTTGTAAAGTAAAATGTATATCAAATTCCTTAAAAAATATATAAGAAATATTTAAAATATACAATTTGCAAAAGTTTTATTTAAATTTTAAAATATTTTAAATGCTTAAAAAACATTGAATAACCCAAATTATCGAAGAGCTTAAATGACATTTTTCTCTCACTGTCGTATTCCATAACCAAGTCCTTTGTCCTGACAGGGCCGTAGCCCAAATGAAATAAAAATTCCAGAAATACTTTAGACAAGTTGCGATATTTTCTCGAACATAATTCCAGTATTTGTGGCTGCTGTGCTTAGCTGAATTTTATTGGATCCCCTTTAGATGTACGTCCATGTCCATGGCAAAGCCCAGACGATGTCGATGTCGGCAGTGTCGGTTTAAGGTTTAGAGCCAAGAAAGCCGGGCCCGAGACCCTTAAATTCCCCCGGCAGAGGAGCGCGTCCGACTAATGGAACAGTCGAAAACGCTTGCCAGATTATTGAGCGATCCCGGGTCAAGCTCCTGGCTTAGGCAATGCAACTATTTGTTTAGCCGGCAGTTAAGTTTCGCCATTCCCGTTCCTATTCCCCTTCCCACTCCCATTGCAATTTCCATTTCGATTGCGATTTCATCGCAATTGGCACAGACGGCTGGCTCTGACTTGCAGTTGATTGAGTTCGTGTTATTATTGATTTGATTCTGCTATCGCCAATTGGCAGTTCCGCTCCCAGTGAATACATCATTATCATCATCATTATCATCATTGCAGCTCGCTGAACTGGCTGTCTGATAGTTCGCTTAGAGTCTAATAAATTTTGAACAGGTGTTTGAACATTCCACCTAGCTCACCCACCTACCTTGCCATACCCATCGCATAAATCAAAATGGGTTTTTAAACAACGCGACTGGTCGGGGATTAGACGGCCTTTGCCATCCGCAGGATGTGCTGGTGTCTCATGTGTTTGCAGGCTGCCGTAAAACACAAACAGCCACCGCAAATATTTTTGAAGCGATGTGGCAAGAACGAGGACATCATGATGACGATGATGATGATGGAGGCGTGGCACATAAAACTTGTTGAATTATTTGGCTCTGGGACATGGACGTGGCTTTCAAAATTCTTTGCCTGCCTGGCGTCTCAGCCAAAAACGGAATTTTTTATTATTATTGCAAATTAAAAAAGTTTACATTGGCTTAACTATGCGAGCGTCGAGACCAGCTCAACTATGTAAAAGCCAAGTTTTAGTCGAGAATTACGAAAGTCTGGACCAGGAAAGAGGCATGGAGAAACGATTTCCAAAGTATTTTCAACAATTTCTGCCGCAGGCTTAACAAAAAACTGGGGCTCCCGAATAAACCCATCATAGGCAACCTGTCTCACCTGAGTTGGCCCCTTAAATTCGCCCCGAAAACCACCCACAAGCCACTCCCTCTCCGATGCCACTCAACGAAGCGTATTAGCAAATTAAATTCCATTTTCGCAGGTGGGCGTCTGCTTGTGATTATGAGCTGAGGACTTGCAGCCATCAAATTTAATGCACAGGCAGCTACCCCATGGGCTTCCATGGTGTCAGTGTGAGGGTGTGGTCTGTGGTCAGCCATCCGTACAGTGCGCTCCATAAGTGAGAGCCCTCCACTGCCAGCTAAGCGGACTTTAAAATTAAATGCAGTGCGAGGTCCGAGTTTTGTTTATTTATTTCTGCCAACTCATTAGGAAAATTGCATAGCTCAATCGTAGAACTCGGTAAATGAGAGCACTTATTAAAAGCGGCTTTCAAATTAAATGCAGTTAACGTAAAACTTTTACGTTTTACAACTTAAGCAAGTTAAAGTAACTGACTTTTACCCTTAATAGTGATTTAATAATTAATATAGTATTGTCATGATTAAAAGTTAAGTTTAAATGAGATCTATTGATTTCAATTTGTTTATGTAAATGCTATACTTTTTTAATATTGAAACAAAAAATAAATATTTTCTGAGAGATGCTTTTATATAGTTTGTTTAATAAATGTCTTAAAAATAAATAAATGTTAAAGGTTAAAATACTTAACGAACAACTTATTGGCCTAAAATCAGGACAACAACTGCTTAAATATGAAATGTCGGAGTCAACTTATTATCAAAGTTGTCCTACTTACTTCCAAGTAAACATTGTTTAAGATTTTAAACATGATAAAACTTTTATATTGATTTGTTATTGTTTAAATAATTTGTTTGCCTAATAAAAATTAAAGCTGATTAAAAACCAAGTACAGCCACAGCTAGAAGTTTTCTTTCCCAATTACAAAAAATTAGACCATTTCGGCTTTAAAATGAAAAACAGGAAAAAAGTCAGACTTTAACGTATTTATTTCTGCCAACTCATTAGAAAAATTGACATATCCCAGACGAAGAAAAATGCCGAATGGCAAAAATAAAAAAAAAAAAAAGGAAGGCACGCGCCGTCAGCCCGAAAGGAAAGCTCACTCACAATTTTCCGGACCGCATTTCGCTTATTGATGGAGCGACTCGGGGAATTGATTAAAAGGCATTGTCAGGGCTGTGGGCTTAAGCCACGTCGCTGCACAATACACACACGTACTCGCTGGCGGACTTCCTCTATATATCCGAGTATATATGCATATACTATTCTCGCATGTATGCAGCGGGTCTTTGATCTATCCACGCTCGAACAACAGAAACCCAGGACCCGGAGGCCAAGAACTTGTCTAACAATTTGACGCCTTAATCCGTCCCTCCAACGGTGGGATCGGATGAAGGAGGAGGCAGGGTGGAAAAAACTCAAACAGCTCCTTGTCTACGCTTCAGTTGGCCAAGCGCAAACTGAGATTCATTCGAACTGGCAAACTGGCAAACTGGCATGGATATTATCCTTCTGCACGTGTGTGTTTGTGTGTGTTTGTGTATCTGTGTGCTGGCTGCCTTTTATGTGTCCCTTTCTGGTGTCCTATTATGGTAATTCGTATCGAGACCGATTACAAGCAACATGTGGAAGAAGCAGGAGCTTTCCCTTGAAAGCCGATCCATTGCAGCTCTTTTGCTATTCTTTTGAGGTGAATAAATAACGAATGTAATGCCAAATAAAAGAATATTTAATCAAACTATTAGCACAAAATAATCTTAACTTAAATGGCCATTCAACATGGCTTAGCTAATACTTTTTTAAGATTAATGCAGTCTCCATTTTCTAATTTATAGAAAAATATCACATCCATGGTTTGCCTTTAAGTAGTTAAACTAATTAGTTAAATATTTGTTAAATTCTCAGAGTCTTTTAACTTTAAGCCTTTAATTTGCTGAGAACGAATGCAGCATCCTTTCGAAAGGCTGAAAATGAGCAGACGAATGACAGCAAATGTGTCCCAAGGATCTGCTTTGTGTGTTCCACCAGCTGGTGCTGACCATCGACATCCACATCGACATCGATGATGGAGACTCCTTTCCGAGGAGAAATGCCATTAAATTAAATTGCATTTCACTCGGGTCGGATAGGATCGGGTCGCCTTTGAGCGAGCATCTGCCTTATTTGCGTGTGCTGATTTGCCACCTGGGACTTGCAGGCTGGCCATAATTTAATAGTGCTTGCAACGCATTGCAGCTGCAATTTCATTTGGCCCACATGAACTGATGAACTGATGCAGTTCCCCCTGCCTGAGTTAATCAATTGACTTTACCAACGGCAATGGCAACCTGTTCACAACCTGTTGAACCCACCAGTCAGTCGCCAGGCAACGACTGACTGTAGATGCCTCGTCAATTGCTGCATCTAATTCAATATGCATTGATTCTATTGCCGATGTCTTGGTTTTTATTGCATTCACTGCTCGATGATTTTTCATATTTGATTTACGATGTTAGAGAGTAAAATGTGCACTTCACGAAATGAAAAACACAGTTTCCCATTGGCAAACACATTTATATGTTTCCCTTTGCCTCAATGCCTAAGCCTAATTAGCTATTTTCTTTAGGAGGCAAAGATAAGAAGTCTTTTTATGCATTCGCCTCGTTAAATTTTCAATTGTTGCGGCGACTTAATCAATTTTGATTGCCAAGCACCGACTAATCCTTGGCACTTACGACCCAAACATAGATATTAATGGTCTTTCTCTGTGAATCTTAATGCCGGACCATTAGGGGCGATTACTATGCGGTTATTGTGGATTGAAGGCGGCGCCCAGCGGCGAGTGTGTGTGGCCAGTTTTTGTGGCCTGGCATTTTACAGGAAATCAATGGACCGCCCAAGGGGCGTAAAATTTTATTAGCGCAAAATGATTTCATGTGCCAAATATTTGGCAAAATTGACGCCGACGATGGCCGTGCTGTTCCAAATGGCGTTGCTAATGGCGGACATTAACGGGGCGTATGCGCAATCTGCGTTGTCATGCAGGACACGCGTCGACACTGGAGTTGGCTTTAAGTGCACTTTGCCCTCAATCCGGACAATGTTCGTGATATGTGTGGATGTGTGTGTGTATGTGCATGCAGTTAATGTCCATTTATCGATGGGCTACAATAGCGATTACGCAGACAAGTTGGCCGCAACTTTTCGGTGGTGTCCTATATTAAAGTCCTAGATAGATTATTGGTTTTGACTTGATTGTTTCGAAGGGTTGCTTTGGTTTCATGATTGGCAGAACGAGAATTTTCAAATACAGTTTCTAAAACACTCAGAATAAGAGCCTTTGAGAAAACCGTAAATGAATAAAGACTTGAATTTGCATCTTCATTTTGATCAGAAGACTATATTTAAGATTAGGCTTTTATTTTATGATACTAAACCATAAAAATGTAGCTTCCTTTTCCAAACATATATATTATTCTTTGATATTTTTGTTTTAAAATTCGAAAAATTATATTTAGTTCCAAGAAACAGCTAATCAAAGTGAAAGTACAAGTTTGCTATTTGAAATCAAATTTCAAACACCAAGCAGAATATCGTAACTTGAAACACTGACAGGCTATTAAATCTCGGCTTTCCTCATCGATGTACACCTCGATTTCTTCTGCTCCGCAACATTCTGAGAGTTCCTTCTCCTTGTATCCCGGGCTGCAGGGATCCAAAATTGTACGTTTGGTAACGGTCCACTTGCTTGTAGAAAGACCCTCATTCTGCTTTTCCATGAGTTGAAAGATTAAGCACAGTGACTTATTACACTCTATGACAGGAGCCACGAAAGTCGCAGCCTTGAGATGAAAAAAATCGATAAACGTATAGCAAATGTGCGGCGGGCAGACGTCTTTAACGATGCATCTTAGCCAGTTGGCCGTTGAGACATCTTTGGTGACCACCAGAACATTATTTTCAAATCTTGCCATTGGCGTACACTCGGAAAAGTTGAAATCCTGTACAGGGTTAGTCTCACACACCTCGAAAATATGTTCCATAATTGCATCCAGATCGGCTTCTGCGCCACACTCTTTATTAGTAATGACCAATCCATATTTTCGATGTTCTGGCATTGTCCTAGCATAGGGTGGTCTTAAGTCCGGTTCCCTGCATCTTTGAGGGTTACAGCAGTCCCGCGCCCTGACGACGCACTTCTCCTTGGATTCATTATCATCATCTTCCATATCTTCCATGGTGTCTTCGTCCTCGCCGCTTTCATTCTCGTCTTCATCTTCCTCCTTGGAACAAGCTAGATGGCTACTGGAGCTAGCTGGAGCTAATTTCTGAATTTGAGATCCAAAAATCAAGGGCATCTGGACAGTCCCTCTCATTGGCATATCGCTAATAAAGTTAAAGATAAAATTTTAGGATTAAATAAACGGATAACGGATATCTCACCTTGAAATATCCAGGCGAGTGGTAGCTATGGACTCTTTAATGTCGATATTAGAAAAAGAGCTAAAGGATTCCGTTTCGACCGGTATGAGCAAGGCCTCCGCCGATGGACAACCATTTATGGTAAACTTATGGGAATAAAAGTAAAGGGACATCAAGGTATCCGCTCCAGTCACAGTAAATGCACAGCCTGGATTTTTAAAAACTTTTTCACCTGTGTGGGGTTTTCGCAAGAATTTACAAAGACAGTCACGGCTTGCCAAACATCTTTTGGTTGTCGTTCTTATTCTTAGTTTTGACATTGGAACGCCAACCATTCTTCCCAAGATCTTGTTTAAATCCTGAACCGTTGCATTATCTTTGATAAAACAAATTTTCGGCTTCTAAGTAATTGCGACAAAAAAGCCAATTAGAATCAAATTTGAATAGAACTTTTTTGCCTTATCATATACCCTTATTAGCACTCACCCACTGACTGGCCGTGCTTATAGAACATTTACTTACCGAGTTGGGCTCGCCCACAAACTGAATTTCCACAAACATTTCAAAGCAATATATAAACTCAAAATTTGGTAAAAAAAATGTAGTAGTTCGTACGAAAAGTCGTGATAGACTGAACTCTAAAAGTTACCCTTTCGAAGGTTTGATTTGACAGTTCACCAAAGCACTCTTGATCGTTGGAATATTAAGCGTTTGAATAGGAATCAAGAAGTAAAGTCTTTTATAGATGCATTTATCATTATTATTAAATACTAATAAGAAATATTTCAATCATCAAACTTATCAATAAACTTGAATTTATCATTCTTTTGACAGGTATTTGGTACAACAGTGACCACCGCGATTGGGTACGCGTTGCCGGACGATAGTACCCATTGTACCCTGTCAAAGGGTTGAGACCATCATCACTGCGCAAATCATCCTCCGCCAGCAGCAGCAGCATCAACAACGCCTGTCCCCCGCCGCCGCCCACGCCGCACCAAGTGAATCCCGCCAACAGCTGCAGCACCAGCAGCACTCCGCCTCACACCCAGCATCCGCATCCGAATCCGCATTCGCATCCGCATCCGCACCACCACCCACTGCCGCACCATCCACAGTATCAGAGCCACCAGCACAGGCGCAGCAGCAGCTCCAGTCACACCAGCCACGCGGAAAACTCAAGCGGTTTAGCCACAAAACCGGCCATCAATTTGCTTGGCAATCACCTGCAGGGCAACTACTTTGAGTTCCCGCCCACCGTTCCTGGCCAGGCGTTGTTGTTGCACCACAGCGGTCGCACCACAGTATCCACGCCTTCGCTTAACTTACAGCACCACCAACAGCAACAGCAACAGCCACAGCAGCAGCATCAGCAACACCCTAGCACCACAGCTGGTGGTCAGTACAGTTCGGCAGTTGCCAAAGCGGCTGCCTCCACTGCCTGTGCGCTCCTTGCCACCTGCCACGTGTCCAAAGATTCCGATTGCGATTCACCCCGACATCAGCAGCACCAGATACACCAGCTTCAAAACCCGGAGGACCTGCAGCCAACCGCAAACAAAATGGGTCGACGCGAGATAAAGCGCTCCAATACCAGTGGCTCCACCACCAGGTCCTACGACAGCGGCAGCGGTAAGTAGTCCATACAGTGGGGAAAACAATAATTTTGTGATTAAATTAAAGTTTAAAGGGAATTAGAAATGAATGAAATGAAATTGTAGTTTTCAAAATGGTGTCCTTAAATATTACTTTTATCCAAAATTAAGAGGTTGAAAAAGGCCAGCAAGGGGACATGGTCTAGAAAATTCTCAAAATTACTAATGAATAACTTTTTAAATTCCTCCGCATGACATAATAATGCGACCAAGTTTAATGATTTGCAGACCTAAAGTAGTGGACTTAATCCATGGCAAACTTAAACCCATCATGTCCAAGTACAGTGGTCCCCCACTAGAAAATACTTAAGGAACAGCAGATCCATTCAGCTGAACACAATTCGAAAAAAGGGGCAGTGGACGGGGCACTGCGTAATCGCCTTACGTCCTGCTATTAGGTCCCTGAATACCATGGGAAATGACATTAGGCTGGCAAATTAACTCAGCGGAGATTTGTTGTCAAGCTGTCGCTGTCCTGGCTTTCGAGGTTTTCTCAAGAGGTGTTCCAGGGGTGAAGGACTGGAGCTAAGCAAGGAAAGAAACTTCCATCAATTGTTCGGAAATTAGTTTCTTCAACTTGGCAATTCTATAGTTAATAATTTTTATTATGCGGAACCGAAACATTGTATTTTCAAATATGTTTTAACTAATTGAAAAATTAAAGTCAATTAGCTAAATAATGAATGGGAAGCAAGGAAATGTCATTGCTCCCCAACGAATTAAAACAAACAAGCAGTGAAACAAAAAATTTAATTCAATTTAATTGATAGCTTAAACTGCTTTAATTGGAAGATATTTTATTACCCAAACTCTGGCCTTGATTTATCTATGAGTTAATAAAAGACTCAAAATGTTGTTAGTTCGAAACAGAAATCTCTTTATTAAATAGGGCCAGCCTGTCTGGCAAAGCCGACTAGAAGTGACATGTTATATAGGTGAGCTTTCCAAGATTCATCTGGGAATCCCAAGGGTGCAAATGAGGCAGTAGAAACGCGAGGTTCGTGCCACAGACAAAATTTGCAATGTATATATGTGGACTTATTGGGATTTATGCTGCGCATTCTAAGAGCAGGTGGAGATAATGGTCGAGATGCTCTCCTGGCATCCGTGATGGTGGAAACAGTCATACTGGGATCCAAGACTTCTCTGGGAACAGCACACTTTCGAGGCTCGCTGGCAAGAGCTGTCCTGCTTGTAGCCCTGCTCCTGGGGAAATTGGAAGGCATCTGCAAGGCATGCGAAATATTTCAGAATGGTCGTGGTAGGGTTGGTTTTGCGGTTTCAGATGCCGCAGTTGCTGCACTGGCTTACCTTTCCTGGTGGAGGGTCGACGCGGTGGGAGTGGTGCGGCAAATCCGGGAACCGAGAAACCGGCTAGGGGCGCGAGTTCCGCTGCAATTAAGAGGCGTCAGCATGTAAACCATGGAGCTAAAGTGCAAGTTAGTGGAGGCTGGATTGTGTATGGTTATGTTTGTGTGCACTTTCACCAATTGAGCGCCTCTGTGTGTTCAATCAATTAATGAACAACGACCTCGAGTTTGGGCTTTAATGAACAACAGCAGATGAGCCAAGTACACAGCGAGATATTAAGTGGTAATTAGTACCGCTGATTAAGATGATGTTTTTGATTTATGTTATGTCAAAGTTCGTAACAATTCAATTTAAACTTCTTAAAATATTTACCAATATTCAAAACATGTAATTTCACAATACTGAGTTCATTTCTCATTAATCAAATCGTTTATTATTCTTTCCTAAGTGTACTTTTGCCAATTATGAAGGAACAACATAATTATATCCTTCAGTGAGCTCCCAAAACAATGGAGCTGCAATTGGATTTGCAGGTGTAAATTGTGTTCTGCGGCACGTTGTAGACGGCCAATTAAAAGATAGACCATCAATGGCCAGTGGCCTCCTGGCAGTCGGTTAATTGATAGGGCTGGAGGGATTGTGTAATTGCAATTGAATTGTGAGCGGATTACATGTCTGGACAGTCGATTGGCAACCAATTAAATAAACATATTCAAGTCGTTCCAGTGAATTGGTAAATTTTAATTTGGTTTTTGGATGAAGTGAAATTGATGCGATAATTGACAACACAGCTGAGGTGATAAATATATGGAGTAGTTGGAAACCAAACCATGTGTTATTCTTGATAGTCGCGTCCTTCACCGAGTTACAGAAGCTTAAATAAAGAAAAGATAACTAAAAACATAAATGCTAAAGTCGAGTGGACCGACTTTAAGATACTCGCTACTCAGAGTCTATAAAAAGCCAAAAATACTTTTTCTTGATACTAATTGAAAGAGATTGGAAGGAGAGTTATTCTATTTTTAACTAATCGAGTAACGAATATAAACAGCTTAGTTATTCAGCACTCTAAAATATCAAACTACATAATTTTTAATGGCAGATTTATTATGATGTAACACTTATGATTTTGCAATATTGTTGTTGTGCACGAATTGTTAATGTTTTGGTTTCTCATCGCCAAGCGGGAAATATATTTACAAAAGTTAAAAACTTAATATATGTTAAAAAATAATAAATTAAGTTTGCGTTGGAGATTTTAAGCAATTAAATGCGAAGCAGCACCGCCCATTCGCCTATTCGTTGGCATCTAGGACCTTGGCGATCACACCTTGCATCACACTGTCATCGGCACACGGATTGACGTCCCAGAAGGCTCCATGGCAGCCGTAATCCTCGAAACAGTTGTACCGAACCTTCTTGCTCTCGTCGGAGCAGCAGTTGAAGATCGCCCAAACACATTTGCTGACCTTGGGTTCACTGTCCGACTGTGGCGACTGGTTGCTTGGCCTTCGGTTGGGAGCCAAAGTTGGGAGTCCCACCTGCGGACGCCGTGTGGGCGGAGGTCGGGGAAGGAAAGAAGGTCGCCGTTGCTGCTCTCTCTATTGGAAAAAGTTGGTAATCCATAGGTCAGGTCGAGTAAAAGATATCGAAGCGATAGTCAAAGGTAGCGGTTAATTTGTAAAGCCCTGTGTTATTCACATTTCGAATGGTATCATGTTCAACCCCAATAAAGCTAGCTTTAAATGCAAAGAATTCAATTGGAGATATGACAGATCACTTACCTGGTTCTCTATCGTCGCGTACAAATTGTGGCCGAGGCGTGGTGGTCGTGGTTTGATTATAAATAGAATAATCAGCTTGTTCAGGATCTGATGTGTGTAGCAAGTCGAGATCTCCTCTAGTTCCAATGAAAATTGGTGTAGGAGTGTTATCTTTCTGTTGATTCCCCGTTAGATGTGGTTTCTTATTCCACACCGGATAATAAATACTGAAATAGTTATACATCATTCGAGGTGATAGGCGATAACTAGGTGATAGACTATCTTACGGTGTATATATTAATGGCGAGACTTCCTTGTAAGGTACTCTATAGTGAAATTTGATGACTTCTTCATTGCCATTTATTTTATAATAGGCTTGTCGGCGTTGACGACTGTGGTACTTCTTGGGATGCTTTCCCAGATACACCTCCTTGTTGGGTACCGGTTCCGCCAGTTGCTCCGCTTTGACTTTACTGGCTGGGAGACCTTTAAGATCTTCGGCTAGGACGATCGGCTTGTCGGGAAGGATATCGAAAAGGATTTGGTCCTCCTCTTTATCCGGACGTTGCTGTGCATGATGGTGATGAGTTCGCTTGTGCTTCTTGTGTTGATCAGTTGCGGTTTCGGATTTGGTGGGATCTGCATAGAAGAGATAGGAAATGTCAATTAGATGCTTTTTTCATAATGCAGATTAATTTATTAAAAATAAAAGGAACTTTTTGCTTGAAAAATAAGGAATTAATCTATCAATTTACGATTAAAAACTGTTTAAGACTTACCATAATCTTCGCTGACAAAATCCTCCTTGTACATGATCACCGGATGATCCTTCTGCATGACGCCATTCACAATCTTTACTTTATGTATCTGCAAAGAAAAGAAGAGAGATTGTAAGTCGAGGGAATGAGAGAGTGCTGGAGTCCACTAACCTCTACATTGTCGGCATCCGGCGGTATGATGGCATAGTCGCTCTCGTCCTCGGAGGATGGACGACCAACGGTCTGGGCCACCAGGCCGAGCAGCAGGACAAACAAGAGAGCCGGAAGTGTGCGGCTGGACAAGCTGCCAGGGGACAGCGCAGCAGTTCGATTCATCTCCTTCGTTTGGCTGGCGGGTCTGCAATTGGCAGCAAGGAAAGATTGTGCATTAGTTCAACTTTGTTTTTGCAGTTCAATCTCAATTATGTACTTGGCCCACCATCACCCCTCTCCCCTTCTAAAAAAAACAACAACAACATATAAATCCTCCTTGAAAAGTCAAACTCAAACACACATCAGGCAGGACAACCGCCGATGGCAAAGTTTTGAAGTTGTAAATTTTGTTGCGGTTTTGTTTTGGCTTCTGGGATCGGGATCAGGATCTGGCTTGGCTCGGTTTGCCCCAGTTTGGTTTTGGGGTTTGTTTTAAATTAGACATCAAGTTGAGTTCAATTTTTCTTGGCTTTTGTTGCCGCCCGTCCGCCCGTTCTGCTCTGTGGCAAACTTTTGAATTACTTTCGTTGGCTTTCTGTTTTGCTTTTTATACCCCCATTTCGTATACTTTATTTTATTTTATTTATTCTTTTTCCTTGGTCCCGGGCACGTCGAATGCTGCCAGCCATAACCCAATGAGGTTGAGTTCGCAGGAGCGTTTCCAAGCGAAAAAACTTGTCCGACACCCAGGCACAATGGCTAAGCACTTTAGCATTTCAATATTCTAAAGCACACTCGTTCTCTGCTGTTTTCAGCAGCTCAAACTAACCGACTGCCTAATCGTAATACATTTACCAGCAAAAAAAAAATGAAATGCTATTTGCAATATTTCCGTTTGAATCCTTACACGTTGACCGTTGAAGTCAGACTGAAACGAACGCCCCAAATTGCTTTTCAATATAAATGAAATGTTTCCATTTGAACAGATGTCTTCCATGAATTGCGATGTCTCATTCTCTCAGCCACGATAAGAGAATACCTTCTTTTCGGTAAACAAGATACCACTGATATCGACGTCATTGATTTTATGACAAGAAAATTAGTAAGAATTCTGAGGAAAAGTACGCGAATGGATCATTTCGTAATTATTTTTACGACAGCTGCAATATTCTACGACATTCTGTGTTCGAAAACATCTGAATCATTGCGACTTGTTTTTGAAATATTTAGTATTTATTTGACTTCTAGAATGATTTGCTGTGTTTGTTTGAGAACAACTATAAAGTATTCGTTTATTTAACAGTTTTTATTACGTTTTGCCCTTAATCTCTCTTACTTGACCAAAAAATGTCGTATTAAGCTGACTTTTTCCTGTGCTCACTGTTTCCCCGTTAACAAGACAGCCAATTAGAGAAGACAAAGCATAGCATTACCATCAAGGGAGAAAACCTGACACCGAACCTGAAAACAGAAAACCGCCAAAGGAAATTAGTGGGAATGGAATTGGAGTGGAAAGAGCAGATAATTCATAGACTATATTAGATCATAAATCATCTGTGCAACAATCCGCATGGAAATCAGATTTTTGCGTTGGCCATGTGTAATTGAAAATTCCTTCACTGATATGTTACCTAATTGCATTTGCACGTAATGATTACCAAACTGTTTGCATATTTCGGCAACAATTTTGTGGGGATTGCTAAACTCTCATTTTGTTGTGCAAAATCCAGGGTCGAATGAACTAAAACAAAAATTTGCCAAAATGCATTTCACCCGCCCAAACTGCAGCTGTTGCCCATAAAAGTATGCTAACGGATACATCGATGCAACTTTTTATATATATAACGACTTACTGAATGTACTAAAACCCACAACGGGCACTCTAGCAAAAAATCCCTGGCAATCGGCTGCTGAGCCACACAAGTAACCCGGTTTATTGAAGCTGAAAATATTGGGTCAGGATGCGACCCGAAACAACATAAGGACCTGGGAGCAGCACAAAAACTCGATTTCCAAATTGTGTGAATAGCCAACGGAAATTGTAAGTTTGTTGGGGGCATAACCCTCAATTTGTTGCTACAACAACGCCAATTCGAGTGAGCCACAAGTGGCCGATGTATAAATGAGCATGGAAAACAAGCTGCCAAAAAAAGGGAAATAAAAACGGGGTTTGCTGCATCATAAATATGAATAAAACTGGAAAATAAAATATGTACCTCGCATGCCGTTCTCCTCCGGCTTTCCTTTTTGACTGCTTATAGAATTTCCATAAAATATTCAATTTCAATATTTTTCCCACAGACAGTGTGGAAAACGAGATTAAAAAGTCCGCTCTTAATTGGTTTTCGGGAGAATTCTATATTTAGTTTTGTACTTTTTTTCTCATATTGAGAATTTTGACAGTGCGGCCGCAATTTTCTGGCATTTACGGCCTGTCGTATGTATGTTGTATTTTTGAAATCTTTTTAACCCAGAATAATCCAATTTGGTTCTAGCGTATTTTTGGCCAGAAACTACAAGTCACTTTAATTGGGTTTATGCAGCAGGTACATTTTATGCCCGGCAAACTGAGTTACTGGCAGCTCTGCCTAATTGGATTTAGTTGATGTAATAAACAGTGGGATATACCATCAAAATTTTTGGTAAAGAAAATCCCTTTACAACTTTTCAACTCAACCATTAGCCCATATTAAATATGACTCTTTTAATTAAGCCAAATGTGTTGGTGCATTATTCATGGCACGATTTGCCGTCCACTGACAATTTTAATAATTATATGCAAAGTCCTTGCAGCTCTCGCCTCTGCGCACATTCGCTGATATTGTACCGACCATCTGTGGCTCTTCACAAAGGCGCAAATTCAATTTCAAGAGCTGCATGTTGCCACAAAAAAGGGCTGGCTCAAATTCAAATACCCACAAGGTGCACAAGGTCCACATCCTCCCAGTTCGGACCACACACACATGCAGCATAACGTCGATTACCACTCATTAGAAAGTTATCGGCAACGGGGCGAATGCAATTTAGCCTACGGCCAGCTGGACTACACCTGAACCCAGGCGAACTGGTGACCTGGGCACGGAACTCGAGACCAGGCACCCGGAACCAGGAGCCGCTTACCCGTAAGTGCGGCCATTTGGTCGCAAACACTGTGGCTCCAAAAAGATGATGTGGGCAGCCAAGTGTAGCACACCGCCACCTCCTGCAGCCAACAACCTGGCAACGAGGTCGATTACACTAGCCAACAGGGAATTTTTATATAAAAATAAGGAAAGAATCAAAAATAACAAAAATTGCTTAGTAATTTATTTGGAGATGAAAAACTTACATATTTTTATAAGCTATTATTGTTATTTAGTCAATTTATTCTCTTATTTGAGTTATTTTTTAACTTTTTTTCCTGTATTACAAAAATACATACTTTTTGAAAGTGAAACATTCCTCACAAGAAGGGAGATATCTCTTATCTTTTAGGCTGCTTAAAACATGAGAAAATTTTAAACTTTTAGAAATTGAACTTCCTAAAAATTAATTTACTTTGTCTGGTCAAAAACTGAAGTTTTACCTAACAGTGTCATCAAAGCAACATGTTTTGTGGCCTCCTCCTACGGTTACTTTGCTTTTCGGGCCAGTAACTAAATGGCGGGCAAAGCCATAAAGTGGCACGGAAAATCGGATTTCATTAGTTTTATATTTATTCAGATACAGATATAGATATAGATAAAGATAGGGATACACTTGAATGGTGCTGGGGCTGCGCAAACATCCGGAAATGTTCGATCGTAGCGAGGGCTGCTAATTGATATGGAAATTTGGTTGCTGGCCCCGGGCGAGCAAACTCATCAAAGTCGGAAAACTCATTGCAGATGCGATTAAAGGCAAACACACTGGGGTAAACATGCAGAGAGGTAAGAAGATGCTTCAATCGGAGCTGGCCTCGTGCGATATTGAATCGACTGTTTGCTCTGACCTAAAAATACGCAATAAACTGCTTGGCTTTTTTCTTGGTATGCTCATCATGATGTCGATGCTGATGATCAGCGAAAAATTGTAAGTGAAATTTACCCTCAGTTTGAATGTGATTTTAAAAACGATTTCAGTTTTTATGTATACTTTTTGTGTTTACGTTGGCCTTAGTGGTTTTTTTTTTCTTTAGAAGTCGAATTCGTTCGAAAATTGCTTATGCCAGAGAGAGCAACACGTGGTGTTGGCTTGGGATGTGGTAGCACCTTTGTTCCTCCTTAATTGGCTTAGGAGCATGACGTGGCCACAGAAACGATGACAGGGTTATCCTGGGCGTTTTCCCCAGCTCTATTCAAGTGTCAAAGTGTCGTACGTCAGGGCGAGTTACGTCGTTGCAGCGGCAACAGAATGCAAATGCCAGCAGGCATTGCCTCCACATGCAACCCAATCCAATACTGAGCATACTGCATAATTGTGATGTTCCTGTCGATGCCAAATCAATATGGGTCAGACCTGCTGGGAAGGAGCAAGATGTTTCAGGGGGATTGTAATTAAGCTGCTCGGATTTTTTGCACACAGGTTGCACTGGGCCCATGGCGAATGCGTAATGCGATTTGGCCGATCAATGGTGCGTATACGTAACATGGCCCTGGCCTGCTGTCAGCCGTTTTTACTCTCTGTTTTTTTTTCTGTTACTCTTTCCCCGCCACACTTTCATTTCGGTGTTTTTGCTTATTTAATGCACACACAAAAACATACATTTTTTTTGTTTGTCTCGCCATTGTTGCCGTTGCCGTTTTTACTTGTGTGATTTTGATCTGACTGGAAGCTTGCCCTGCAGGCCAACGGCAACCAACTTTTCTTATTATTGTTCAAAATGAAATTTATGCGGCACGCACACTCACACTCAAACGCCCAGAAAGCAAAGTGGGGCATCATCATCCAGTGGGAAACAATGCAAGTGGAAAATGTTTTCAACCATTCTTGTCAAGTTTTTGTTGCTCATTCCGGGTCGAAATGTAGGCGGCACACATTGCAATATGTTTCTATGTATAACAAATGGGAAAGGGATGAGGTCAGGATACAGAACTAAGACACATAGCAGTGATCAATTCCATTGAGAAATGCAGAAGGCCTCAACCTTTGGCCTGAATCAAGTGGCCTGTGTGCGTTGTCTGAGGCTGAGGTATCAAAACTTGGTTATCATGTACGAGTAGGTAGCTCTTTCAACATCCTTCACAG